TACTACTTATTAGCACCTACTACTGGTGACCCTGATATGTCGCAGTTCCTGATATTTACCCACTTTTTCGAATTCCCGAGGGGTGCGACATAGTAGGAGATTGACTGTACTCCATATCTCAATCACACAAGGTGATGCTCACGGATACGCTCGAACAGAAGCCTGGTCGAGCGGCCAACATTGGTCCACTGGAGTAAGTGAGAGTAAATGCAGAATGAGGTGGCCAAATAGGGCGTTCTATCCTGCAACCGTAGATACACCAACGAGCTAGATGTGATTCGGATTTGAAGCTTGGGTGCGTAGAAAGTATTTGTGGATAGCATTTGATAGCCTTCTACGCACAATATCTACCAAAGTGACGACTTTATATGGTAAAGAAATGCACACAGACTTTTCTCCGCAATGTGTCTATGTACATTTCCTTACCATATAAAGGCTACACCTTGGCACATCCTTCAGTATCACTGTGTGGTTGAGATATGGAGTATTTAATTCAATCACGACTGCAGTCGCGTCGTACCGTGTCGGCACTAATCACATCGTAAACGTGACCGAAGCGTTCGGACTCTTGAATACAGTTAGAACCGAACGATCTATGGACAGGTGCGATTTCGCATTCTAGCCAAAGCGGAGGCAGTTAGTAATCGGTTGCACAAATCCCCCACTGTGTGCTCAAAATAATTTGTGCAAGCACTCAAGCTCACATTGCCGGAATGCCGAGAAGTGACCCACGATGAAACATCCAAGAAAATGATAATTTCATAGAAGACATTTGTATTGTATAAAGCAAATGAAACGTGAAGTGAAAAGCTAAGAAGTGTTGCACAGCCATTTCAACCTGGTTGGATCTCATCAGTGCAGTGCGAACCCATCGACCTAACTGGGAATCAAACCCGAGACCTTGCAGGCGGAACGCAAGTATGCTACCCAATCGGCCACCGGGCTGGTTTCTCGCTTTCCATTTACACGGTATAGCGCAACCAATCTTTACTAGCTTGTTGCAGGCCACGGACCTNGCACTAGCCTCCGTCGTTATGACTCGGTTGGAATCCTGCACAACCGGCTACTTATTACATGATAGTAAGGGAGGATTTGATTATATATATATATATATATATAAAGGGTAAATGGAGAAATTACAAGCTCCTCGGTAAAGTGGATTGACCCAGTACAGTTTACAAAACATTGCCGAGTCCTCCAGATGAATGTGGATATTCCTTTCTTAGCGAATTCAACTTGATCACCTTGATCACCTTTAGTTCTTTCTCAATTGTACCTGGCTGCGTGGAGAATATGTACAGACAATACCATTCAGACAGAACTGAGGTTTATTCGAAACAGATACCCAGAACAATTAAGTGGACAACATTTGGAGGAGCCACCGGTTGGTTAATCAGATTATCACTGCTGAGAAGAAACCGGTTTACATATTGCCACCTTTCA